CGGACTCGTGCAGCTGTGCAGATCTGAGTTGGAACGGGGAAGCTGGTGCTTTTAATAAATTCACAGGGACATTCAAAGGGGCTGGCAGCTACGGAGGTTTCATTTTCCCAGCAGTGAGCTGTGTCATTTAAAATAAGGATCATTTTGACAAGGGGAATATCATAATGCTAAATCTAGATCAAATAACTGAGCAAGGTGTAAGACTAGATTTACAAGGCCTTGTAATCCTGAAAGACTAAGAAAGAAACGGGCACAGAAAGGGGAGGATGTAGCAGTGAGGAAGAATGATAGATGGAGAGATAAAATATTAAAAGAAAGCAAGCAAAGGAGACAGTTTTGTTTTCAAATGTGGATATCAAACTGTTTCCAATACAGTGTGTGTACATGTGGTCACAGCACAAATGGCCTGGGGAAGGGAATGCAGCTTTGTTAGTTGACTTCATTAAAACTTGAGTCTTGAAATTTCTAGAACCTCAACACACCTGGGAGGTTTTTTCTTCTGCAAGCAGCCACACAGAGCGCAAACAGTCCCTAAGAGAGATGTGTGGAACGCAGACAAGTGGAGGAGGTTGGTGCACTGGTCAATTTGCCATTCACAGAAGAAAAAAAGAAAGAAAGAGGAAAGAAAAGAGGCGAAGGAAAAAAGGGAACGTGACGTGAAAAGACAGACAGGGAGACAAAGAACGAGGCAAAGAGAAAGGGGGGAAACTCCAGCTGTCAGAGACAGGCCAGCACTAACAGAGGGCCGTCATCAGGGAAGCCACAGTCACAGCTGCCACAATCTAAAGTAAAATTCAGGACAGTGGTTTAATGGTGGATCTGTCTGATGCCCCTAAATGATCTCAACCAGTTTACTACCACAGTTACCTATCTTGCTCGACGATAAAGCAAGCGGTTTGCAAATCTTAAGTTTCAGTAAAGAAAACTGCAGCAGCAAGCAAAACGAGCATCTCTCAAAGTATTGTCACATACACAGTACACATTTCACAGTACATACAGTACACATTTCTTTTTTCATGCACAAAGATTCAACATCCTATAGACTCCCAGAGACGCACCAACTACCTGTTCTCAATGGCTTACATGGCAAATCCCTTTATGAGGTACAAGGGAAGGGTTACGCCCATTGCTCTGTAAATGGATGTTGCTCTTTCCTTTCATTTCCATAACAAGCCATCAGAACTCATCTCCCACTGAAGTGGCCACAGTCCCACTGGCAATTAAAATCATGCTGGGACATGCCATGGTTGTGTGTGACTCCACTGTGGGAAACAAAAGCACCGGCAGCAGCGGTAATGACGCCAACAGTTGAGTGGTAAATCTCGAGCAATGTCGGCAGAAGCCGTCTCTTTGATTTCTCCAGGAAACCCAGAGCGGGCCTCGTTTACACGTTTCAGTTTGAGCGTTACTGCAAAATATCAAACGAGAAGATGGAACAGCGTCAACTCATCTCTGTCTTCTTTACTGCCTTCTATATACAGTGGCAGCACTGAAAAGGTTGGTGGGTTGTTGATAGTTTCTCTTTATTTTTCAGAGAATTTTCAATTTCTAAACAAGCCTGAAATTTAGTTGGGGAAAAATAGCAAATCTGAACGGCAGATTTAAAACTTTAGGGGTTTGCAATAGACTTTAAAAATCTATCAAGCATCTACACTGATAACGAGACGATTATGTAATACTATCTGTCTGATTAAAGCCAAAAGGTTATTAATCAGTCCCGTTTTACATTCCCATTATTGTTGTTATTAATTAGAGCGGGATGTTTCAGTCTCCACAAAAAAAGAAAACCCCCGTTTCTTACACTTATCACATCTGCTAACTAATTTCCAGATGGAAATGTAGACAAATATTTTTACAGTTTTACAGAAAACTATAGTAAGTGGTGATGAATACATTTGGTATTCGCATCCTTTGTTCAAAGGTAACCTCATTGCAATGCATCTAAAGTACGTAAAGGTGATAATAAAATCATTTCTGTCAAAAGGGAAACTACACGTTGAGAATTTGCAGAGAAACGTGGCATTCTAAAGCTACTTTTAGCAGCCTATCTAACAAAGCCACGGCTATCCCCAGCCAGGCTAAGAGGAGACGAGGCATAAATGAATGTGCATAAAGCACTTTGCATCACATCATCATTGTTTAATCCTTTCATTCTCATCTGTCAATCATCCTCAGATGCAACCTAATCCCTGAATATTTGTGGACCGGTCTATATTGATACCTTTGACATGACTTGTAAGCACAGCTTCTATTTATAATACAAAATGTTCTTTTTAAGTCATGAGATAAGCTTTAGTTGGGTGACATTATTCATTTGTAATGTGGGTGCCAGTTTGCATTTCTTTAGCCTGTTTTCTTTGATTGACAGGACTTGTGGTTATCTCCCCTCTGTGCCCTTTACCAATATTCTGGTGCAGATAGTCACAAAAACCCCCTAAGATTACTCAAATCATACATATACATGATTCTCGAACGCTGGGTGGAAATCAGAGGGAAACAGTGCTCTGTGACTTACTCGTCATATCTGCAAAAAACTGACTCGTACAAACAAAAACAAAAAAGTCAACAGTCTTATTATGACAGCAACTTACATTTCATACAATGCTGACATTAGAAACACAAAGGTTTCACGTTTGTTCTTAAATGGGACAAATGAAGGCAAACTGATTTGTCGTACATGTTACGTCAGATATGAATCAAAATAAGGGCGTGTCCACTTTCAGGTACCCCAATGATCGTCTGTCGCTTTTCTCACTGTCTCTTGACACTTGGAACTGTCCGTGTTTTGGGGCAGTGTCAGTTATGCCTGCTGATACAAGATGTTTTTCCTGTGATCCTGTCATCCCAGTGCTAACACCTTCAGTTGTTTACAGTGAAATGTCCTCCGTGTTCACCTTCACCTCCTGCCTGTTTTCAGCATTACTCTACGTGATGTACATACTGTATAGAGTTACTATGCCGCAGCGTTCGGCAGCGCGAGGTCATTGGCAGGGTTCACCTGTGAGGTCATTGCTAGCCGTGAGAAAATTAACGTTGATTGGTCTCGTCACAATTTGCTCCCCGAAGCTCGTGCCGCCGAGGCAACTGCCAAGACGAGCTTCCTTAAACAAATCCCTATTCCCAGGCAGGCACACAGCGGAGTTGGGGAAAAGGGACAAAAGAACGTATCCGCCACAGGGAGACAGAGAGAACTTCTAAATGGGAAGTTCTAAATTAGACTTCTTTTAAAGGTCTTTTAAAGTACAAACCCATGCAATGTTAATCTATCTGGCTTAATCCCATTGCTTTAAGATCCTTTATAATCCACATTCAATACAGCCATTTCTCTCCTCTAACAAGCTTGCCCTATAGCCATTTTATAAATCACTGGTACAAGGTTTGTGTAGTGCCACAAATTCTGTTATGGTGTCATTACTTCACTGAGTTATGAATCGCGCAAGGTAGAATGACAAATATGTTTAAGACCTGTAGAACTGCTCAAAATATTGTATTTCTGTGTGAGTCATGGCAAAAAAGTGGTATAATGCTCTTTTAAAAAAGATCAGCAATAACCACGACAGCAGTGGAGTTTCTGGTTCACTTAAAAACTGGAAGCATCATCAAACATCTGAGCTGTTTTACTGCACCTTGGACATTTATGAGCAGGGCTTACAGCAGACGAAGTTAAAGTGATATACTTGCCACACAAGAAAACAGAGAAACACTGGTAGTTTTTCAGCCATATGCCGATATCCTTAAGTCACCATGTGCTGTGGCTTTGAAAGTCTGCACTGCCAATTCCTTATTTGAAACCTAACCAAGTCTTTAACAATGCCTCTCTCTGATCCGGTGGAAAGGAGAAAATCTATTATCGATTTCCACCTGGTTTAGGTGGAAAAAGCCCTGATAGCGATGCTGAATAGCGCTACAGTGTGCTATAGCCTCCACAGTAAAAGCTGGGGGATGGTGTGAGAGGGCATGTCAACAAAGCCTTTGACTGTATGCCACAACACCATCTGCACATGCTGAATTTTTAATTGTCAATAGAACTGCTCAAGAACAGTAATCAAGAAGACAAAAGATAATGCGCATCATGAAGAGCCTGTACCACAGTTCCTGCGTGATTGGAGTTGGGCTTATTTTTTAAAATCACCCATTGTTTCAGTGCTAATTGTGAGAAATTCTACACGCATGCAACACAACAAAGATATTTCTTAATCACTTGTGATATTCAATCCCATTCAACTCCAGACCAACTCAACAGACTTCGAATTCAACCAGTAAATGCAATTCATCACTGTCACTGAAAAGTCACCAATCATTTCTCGCAAATTCAGTCAGGGTAATACAGGCCTGTTCACTCCAAAATATAATTCACCGTTCTGCATAATGTGCACCTTTAAAACCACATGAAAGGAAGGTCTTGATTCCACTTTCAAATAATCAGATTTCCTGCTTTCACCCAAATGTAAACGTTTTAACCAACAGCCTGCATTCTCTGCAGATATATTAGAGCCCGTCTCCTGTCAGTCATGACCCTGTCAAGTCAAGAGGCAAGTTGCCAAAGCAAGATGGTTTCACCACTTAGACTCTGATGCTTTAAACAGACAATAAAGCTTGATTTAATACTGCTGCAGACTAAAATTGGAAACCTCTGCTACAGGATTGTCATAATAAGACAGAGTTCATTTCAAAACATTTGCCACTGCAAACAGCTGTGATGAGGGACGAAATAAGCAAATCGGGATAAAAACAATGGAAAAAATATTATATGGATAGAAAACAGTGGGGTAACACAGAAAAACAACATAACCTTAATCATGCTGAAAATTTCCTTTAAGTCTCATGTTTTCAACTTTAATTGCTTTGGTGAAACAGCGCAGACAAGGTGAGAACAATGGGTGCAGACTATTTTTTTTCTCTCTTCGTATCTGCTGTGTGAGCACACAAAATTAGGTAAGCTAGTGACATGAGACATAATCATTTTCTTTGAGCAGGGATAGTGACCAATTTATTCTTACCTTAGGCTGGGCGCGACGGGGAAAGGCAACCTTAGGATCAATCTGAAATGAGAAAAGAATAGCAAAATTGTTGTTAAAGGATAGGCTGGTATATCTTCGGGGTGAAAAGCACCGAACAGGTGTTCACAAAGGACCCCGGGGTGAAACCGCCACACTGCTGCATTTTGACTCCTTTAGACTCATTGAGAATGTAATTACTAGTACTTCAGTGGCAGTTGTACAATAATGGGTATTTATTATATGGCTATGATGTTGGATTTTTTTATTTTTTATTTTTTATTTTTTTAAACAGGAAACCCCCAGAGAATATTTTGATCTATGAATGCATAAATCAAGAGGAAGAACAAACCTTTCTTTTTCAAATTGCTCAGAACTTGTGAACAATGATGATAATTCATCTTTTTTAAGATTTAAAAAAGCTTCATAATTAACATGTACTCTTCAAACCTAGAGTCGCCTTTAAGAGCTGACAAAGTTATCACAATTACAAATTAAAGTCAATATGAATAGCGCAGCAAAGCAGTAAAAATAACACAGAACGAAGCCATTTCTGTAAAACGGTGGTACCGCTACATTACTGTGCCTAATCTTTGACACAGTCGGGTTAAGGATAGGGTGACGTTTCACTAAAGGGCAGACTAGGTCATGGCTCTGGGTAGCTGACAGACTACAGAGATTGGTAAGACAGCAGTGTGCCATGGTTTCCCCCTGCTATGAAAAACTGCCACACACTGAAAATGAAGGACGCCGTCCCTTCTTTGTCCTCCAGAGATCCTGAGGTCTTTGTCTTTGTCATGTTTATATCACAGCAGCTTCGTGGCTGCTTTAATCTCCGTCTACATTAAGGAGCTACTACCGGAAGTTAAAAAACAATGTATAGGGAAGTGCCTGCTATGAAAGAATCATAGCCATAGAATCGATGTTGTTCAGCTAAACTACTGGCAAAGATATATTGCACATTGATATATTTTTAAAATAAGGTTAAATCGTATTTGTATAATCTCAGTGACCAGTTAATTTGTAAACTGCAGTAAAAGAACCTGATTACTCAGTATATTAATCCCTACTGCAAAACAGCTTATCGTTTAAATTTACTGTTGGCCTATCAGCTAGCCTGGTTCCTTATAAATGATACAGGTGCACAGTTTAGTCCAGCAACTGGCTTTGTTTCCCGTCTTGATTGTCACTAGGCAGACCAAAGCATTTAAAGAGAGCTGGCCAATATCACCGGCCTCATTACTCACTGTGGCAAATTATCTACAATTGATGGAGCTCAATGACACATTCTAGGCACAACACTCAGTGCACTGAGCAAGGTACCATAGGAAACCACATATTAATTGCTGTAAATTACCATTTTTGTTTTTTAGGCCTAAATACTGGTGCTCCCAAATTAGCTGTTGATGCTGTATAGCAAAAACAAAGAAAGAACCCCCAGTGTTAAAATAAAGTTGGCGTGGAGACCAGCCACACCAATGTTCCGCTGGTCGTGGTCGCAGCAGAGGCCCGCTTTTATTTTAGGCAGGAATTGCTGATTGAATATGACAGGAAGAAAATGAGAGTCTGGGGCCGGTGACGCCTCCAGATATTGCCAAATAACTGGGAGGATGCGTCAGATCAGCCTGTTTCTCCATCTTGTGCTTGTTATCTCATTAGCTACATCTTCCTCATTAATTTCTCTGGTATAAAGGTATGTGGTGGGGGGTCTCATCAACCTTGCACTTACAGTGAAGAGGAACTGTCTGAAACAGCAATGTCATCCTAAACTCTCATCGCCTGGATGCAAATTTGAATTTGAGGGGGGGAAAAAGAAAGAAAGAAAAAGAAAATCATGAATCTCTTCATGTTGTTCCATATTGTGCTACGTGTCAAACTGACATATTTACAATTACTATATCAATTCTATGCATTCCTACTCTCTCGGCACAGATGGATTTATTTAAGAAAACGATATCTCATCACGCCGAGGAAAACAATGGAAAGAAAACACGAGATGAAAATTCACCATCTGCACGGATCAATTAAGCCATTGAAACTGACTACATTTTAATCTGTTTGAAGGAAAACCATGATGTGCAATGTCACTGTCATCTTCTCTGTCAGTCTCACTTATTACTGTTATCTTTCTAAATCGGGTCAAAATGAGAAATGAATTCAATAACACCTGGGCACGGTAACTCTGCTTGTAATGAATTTCATTTAAAGATTTGTCTTAGCACTTAGCCCCAGGCATAACCAATTCAAACTCAATTATTTTGTGCACCCTATTTTAGCAAAGACAACACATTATGCTCTGAATACCAAAGTCCTACACTTGGTAATGTATCTTACTTTTTAAGCTTATACAAAATATATCAAACCTCATTTTACCACACCACATAAACTAATTGTTTTTCTGTCCTGCTGAGAATTTCTATTCACTATGAAGCATTTGGTCTTGAACGTGCGCATGAGAACACTTTAACACAGCATGGAAAAATCTCATGTAGTCTGTTTAAAATTATATATATATTTAAATGATTACATGCAGAGAAAAATGTTACTGCAGATTGTTTAAATCTCACTCAGAGCAATGCAACCAAATTGGGCAATGAGGCCTTATTAACAAATCCTTCTGTGAAATGTAGCAGTACCTTTTTAGGTCACAAATTATGACGAATAACTCCTCTGAGAAATTTAGAACTACAAGAAGAGGAGACGAGGCATTTGTTTCCCTTTGCTTTACATATTAAAGCTTTAGGTTTTCATGTAGGAAGCATCTTCATACCTATTGGGCAGGAGTTACCCTTTGCACTAAATGCAGCTGTATCAGAGATTATAGTGTCTCAGTTTCACCTGATACTTCCTTCCTGAAACATATTTTTTTCTTATGTAACACGCATACCATCAGGCTTGGGTTGAGTGAACTTAATGTAAGAAGTGCACTTGTTTCAGTAATTTGACTCTAGTCTGTTCTAAACTTGCATGTTTTTTTAAGCAGTAAAAAGATAAATGAATAATAGCTATTTATTAGTTTGTTTTTGCCTATGTTCTTGTTTGAGAAATGACTTTCCTTTATGATTTGTAGACAAATCTCTCTGACTGTGTCATCTTAATTTTACAACAGCTGGATGCAACAAAAATATTCGTACATTCTTTTGATTCTTGAAAGGAATTCTGGGAACAAACCATGAGATGGTAGATAACATATGTCGAGGGTATGCAAAGAGTGTTGCTGTTGGGTAGAGGGCCAGAGCTCTGACTCAGCTCTAGCTATTTGGCTATCATACAGTAGCAACAGAACAACAAAAAAAAAAACCCAACAACAACACTTCATTAACCCCCCTCTGAGAAATTTCTTTACTATGGAAAAATCACAAGCAATCTGACTTGGAGCTGAACGAACAATCTGCTTTAAACACAGTCGAATGGTCCGGGAGATATGACTACAATATTGTATTGTAATTGAAAACATGACTGTAACTGAAGGTGTAATGTGTTCAAATGTAAACTGTAATCAAAATGCAACCGTGAAAAACAACAATAATGTGCTCACCTATTTAGCAAAATCCAAATTTCTTTTTTTTATATCGAACCAGAACAAATGTACATACGTGTCAAATATCATTCAATTCTTTCTGAGACAAAGACAATGTATTTTTTTGTTCTGGGCTTTTATTATTGCCAACAACTGTTATCTTTAGCTGTATGTAGGATGCACAGTATGAGGTACTTTTTTTTTTTTGCACTGATTCAATTACAGCAGCAGTACCTGTTATGTACAATTGACTGGCAAGCACTAATGTGATGTCATTTTCCATGGACCCTGCAATCAGAGTATATGTGCCTTTAGCAATGTGGGTGTCTCAGATGAATCGTAACCATCTAACCAGTGTGCACACTCGAGTTCATGAGAACCAAGAGGCTACAGTGTCATGCTAAAGATGCACTACTGGTGACGTACCTCACGTAGCAGTAGTCTCCAGTGTAACATCTTTTGAGTATGTGCTCAACTTAGAGACCTGGCATCACCCTCACAGGTCCCTTTCTTCAAATTACGTTTAGATACACCTTTGTAATATGATGCAACATGATCTCACAAAGAGCAAAAGTGGATTTCCTCAAGACATCATACAAGCAGATACGTCAATGTAATAAATGAGAACAGACCAGGAGGAATCCCCCCCACCAACCCTGCCCCATCATCTTTTTATCTTCCGCAGCCTTTTACTTAAGGGTCTCCGAGGGCTGCTTCTGCATGCGACTGTGGGAGATCAGGGCAGAGAAACAGCACATATCTTAAGTTCACATCTTACAAAAGGATTTCATATATTAATGCAGCTCCTGGGTAAACTCTCTTCCTCTCTCTTAAGACATATCTACGCTAGCATGATGATGTGGTGTTTAAGCTAAAAGGAAAAGCCTTATCAAAGCTTGCAGCTTCTCTCAATAAGTGTGTGAGCAGGTCCACAGGTGTGCGTGTGTGATAGCAATAGAATAGACAAGAAATTACAACATAAATGTTTCATATCTGTGCTGTCAATCTCTGCTGACTTTCGCCGTGGAATAACACCACGAAAAGGCAGTTTGTTATGATCCTCAAATCAGTAATGAGAATTTTACCGTCATGCTCAACAAGCAAATTGGCTATATTTTTTTTTTTTATATATTTTTTTTACCTCTTAGAAATATGCAACAGCATTACGAACATTAGCCACGTTTGCTGGTAGTAGCCTAAAAATAACACTACCGCTTTGACAAACCTCTGATGACCCGTACGAGCGGACAGGAGACAGAAACAGATACAGAAAGAACTAATAACGCCTTCAGCCATAATTAACCGCGGAAGATGGAGCACCTGCTATACTTAAACAAGAGCGAGTCAGTTTAGCTCACTGATTTGACTTTACTTCCTAACCCTATCTGATGAATGAAGCTCAGATTTGTCTGGAACAGCTGCTCTTCCCTGTCCTTTCTCCTCCTTTGCTCTTGGGCTGGTTTTTTTTTTGGCTTCTCCTAAACCTCAAGCATAGGTTGACCTAAGGGTGACTTTATAAAGGCTGGATTTACCCAAGACAAAAAAATAATAATAATAAATTCCGGGGGTGCGGGGGTGACTACATATCATTGGGTTTTACTGGTTGAAGTGAATTAAGCTCAGAAACCCCAAACATGGTATCACACCATCAAATCTTACATAAAAAAAATAAACCCATGTATGCCTTTGTAACAGCTTCACATAAGAATAAACGATTTATATCGCTCAAATCAATCTACTGTTATGTCTGAGATAAAAATTGATGATGTCCTTCTTCATACAGGCCTGACTTGAAACATCTTCAGCAACAGATGCTCTGAGTTGTACATTTATAAACTGAACAAAGCATCATGAAAAATGGTAAATATGTTCTGAATTACCAGCATGTGTGTTTTGAAGCCCCCAGGCTTTGCTTCCCCATATGTCTCATTCACATTCATTCTAGGCTAGAGTGTTTTCATAACCGGACAAAAAGTAGAGCACACAGTCAAAAGAAAACATTAATACCAAATAAAGAAGCATATGAAACCAGCGTTGGTGTGCCTGTCTTCTTTTAGTTGGGAGTAAAACTGATTCTATAGCACTCCTGATCTCGACACTAGGGAAATTTTATGTTTAAATCAAAGTGGGGTTTGCAGTTGATCTAAAAGTACATCAGACTAAATAAAATACCATCTGTGTTTGTGACACTGATGTAATACTGAAATAATATTAGATTTAAAATAACAGAGCTAAAAACATCCATATGATTTTGGCTTTACACTTTCACTACACAGCTAATACGACCTAACTTCCTGTCATTGCACCTTCAGCCATTCTCACTTTTTTCCAAGGTTACCGAGGACAGACAAACCACTAAGGATTCGTTCAGGCACTGCAAACGAGGGAGACCTGTATCAACCCAACATCTGCAAACACATCAAGACCATCCATATTTGCTGGACCGGTTCATTTTTCCCCCATTGCCACTGAGCAACTTTCTCAGAGATATGATAGATCCTAATGCAATGCGATCTTGATAGTGTGAATGTTAAGATATACAACAGCACCGCAGATACAGCGCAGTGACTAATGGTGAGAAAGACGATACAGACAGCCGCCTTAGGTTTGTAATCTTCTACTGCACACTGACGGGTAAACAACAGCACGTTAGCAGCTGGGAAATATAAATGTCTGCATGCATTTGAGTCAGCAGAATTGTTGGTTTGTCAATTATGCCGTCAAACACTCAGCCAGTGATAAAAATGTCCAGCAAGAAAACACAAACAAAACAACAATCTGCTACACTTTATTTTGCTAAAGCTATTGATTACCTCCATTATTACAGGATTTTCAGTATCATCCATATTTTCAGATTTATGGGTGCGATGAAAAACTACAACGCCACCAGCAACAAGAGGCGGGTATGCAAAACGAAACTGGCTTTTTTTTTTTTTAAATATAGTCGGTGTCCCTAAATGATTATCTTATGCTCTTACAGCCCAGCGGATTAAGAGTTAAGACATCGACCATGCAATCACAAAACTGCCTGATCGAGTCTGGCCAGGTCTATCTCCTCATTTCCTGTCAGCTGTCTACTGTATACTGTCTAACAATCAAGGGGAAAAAAACCATCACCAAAATTACTAAAATAATTCACTTCCAAAGCATAATGATTTCACACAGGCCACTATTCAGGCTTAATGATGATTCAATGTCAGACTTTAAAATGTCACCATTCAGTTCTCGTGCATTTCAAATCTCAATTATAAGTGTGCCAAATGTGATCTAAAGCCTACAATACGTGTGACAAAACACCACTGTTTGTGTGCATATCTGTAGCCAAAGAACAAAGTGTATCCATAACTTGCAACACAGACATGCAACAGATAACAAGATTTAGTGTTGCTGCACGACAGTTATTATACTTTAGCAGAGCAAGAGAAAATACTATTTAACTCAATTATTATACATAAGAGGTCCCACATTGTTTTAATAATGGGATTAAATTCTGCCTACAAATAGTCTAAATATTACAATCTAAAAAAAAAAAGAAAAAAAAAAGAACCAACCGATTTTTCTTGTGGGCAAAAAAAAGGAGCTTTTTTGCAATCAAGAAATCAGCTGTAACACAAGTGGTTTGAGACTGCAATTTTAACAGGTCATTAATGTAATCCCATGAATATTGTAACATATGTTAGCGGTATTAAAAATACACAAGAAATTAAACTGTTTCCTGCTGGCACTGCTCTCAAAGTGCCTTTGGGCAAGGCAATTAAAGCAACAACTGCTCTATTTATCAGACATCAGTAATAGACTGCCGCAGCACAGGCCAACTCTCAGGTGTAAGCATATATATTTACGTGCTCCCCTCCCTTATTCATACCCCCCATGACCTTTGCTGTAAATATATATGCTGTCAAGCTGTCACAAAGCTGCTCATTCAAAATGTCAGACTTGAAGTTATCAAACCGCTCTAGATTCTGCATCAAAGTATGTTTATATCTCCAACCCTTCAAGCAGCCCCCGTAAAGTGCTTCTAAGTATTCCCCTCTGAAGAGGTTCTGCAAGTTTTGCAATGTCATCGGCCTGACTTACCGGTCATTTTAATGCTAAAAAACCTTGCCCTTGCTCTATAGTTGCTACGTCACAACATAACCCCACCGAGTGTCCTTGTCTCCCTCATTTGCATAACACAGTAATAGAGCTGATAGCAGTGAAGACATAACATATAAACACTAAGCACGAGGTGAATGAGAGATTACCGGAAACTTAAAAAAAAAAAAAAAGCATAACACAAAATATCTAATAGGCTGAAGAAAAAAAAAAATCACATGCACTCAAAATTTTAAGTACAAGTGTGTGTTATGTGCCTTTTTTAATGAAGGCAAATTGCTTATTTTTTAGACTAGCAGAAAACGACCCCCCCCATAAACCCTTCTGAAGAATCAAACCCCCACCGATGAGCTGAAAACTGTCCAAAAAGGCTCACAGCTCCCCAAAAATAATGACAATAATAATGATTATAAAAATAATATTCAAAATAATAATAATAATAGCAATAATATGAGCAGCCACATTATTACAAACTTCGCAGCTTAGAAAAAATTGGAAGGAATATAAAGTAAGGTCTGCCACCCAACAAACAGCAGGTTTCTCAGCTCTGTGCCAATCACACTCAAGCTCAGGAATGAGCAGAGAATTCTTACATTTACATTACTTGCCTTATCCTACGCAGACTTGTAGATTGCACATTATTATACACTGCTACCTGAAGTATAATCTATTTATCTTCCACAATCCTTAAAAAAATATTTCCTCCCAGTGTAAAGTTGGCTTCAGCCGAGGGAGCGCGCACAGTACATTTCCTCGATATGCACCATTCCATTACTGTAACTATTGCTGGCATATCTGGATTCGATAAAATATAATTGCAGCTGAACCATATCTAATCCAGCGCATCGTATAATCTTTAATTATTCCTCTGGTGACGAATTTCAACAAATTTCAGAATGCTTGGCAGTCATTAAACCTAAGTGCATGAGTGTATGTATATGTGCACTGGATTAATGACCTTACTTAAGTAAATCAGACAAGTCTTTAAAAACTACACATGCACTCTTAAAGTATTTCACACGATACTCCTGACTGATTGTATTCTGATTATCATACATTACAGTAATTAGTTTGAACATACTGGCAGCTTAAAAATGTATTAATTTATATTTAATTTGTTTAATCTCTAATATAGGGCTCAAACCTTTCAGACTCAAAGTATCTGCTAATCGGGCACGATATGATACAATATCTGCTGGATCAAACAGCAGCAAGGCAGCAGTCCTGAGACAGCACGCCCTTGTGTGTCCACATGAGATATAGGCACACTGCCACATGTGGCTGCAGCAAAGAAGGGGGCGTGTCTGGCCCCATTCAGCCAGAGAAGTAAAAGTGAACACATGTAATATTCACCCCAGAGTTGTGTTTTATTTTATTGCCAGGCTCTCTGTGGAAGAGACCAGCACACATTTAGCCACTGTGCGTGACCTTGATCGACACAGCCTGTCAACCTAAGAAGTGTCCCCCCCCCCTCGCCCACCGCACCACCCACAAGGCCCTACTTAGGCAGTAAAAAGTCTCAGTTGGCAGAGCAGCGTAAACACAAAACGTGAAATGAACTCTGGTGTAAGAACAAATGAAATCAACTCACCGTCTTTGAGTCTAATTCGTGGTGTTGTTGAGCTAAGACTTTATCTACACTGGCAGCATCTGTAAATGTAACAAACCCAAATCCTCTGCAAAACAAAGACACAAAGAGGACAAGAACAGCCGTGTTAATAATAATTTAACATTGCATACATATTAAAAAATGACACCCCCATCCCTTGCAAATATAAATTTAACCTGCAACTTGCAAATAATAAACCTGCATTAACAGTGTGAACAACAATCCCTATGACCCACAACAACATTTCTCTGCAAATATACATTTCTAATCCAGATTACGGCTTGTCCTGTGGCAGATTTTGGGAAAAGCAAAAAAACAAAAACAAAACTGAGGACAGTGTTCATCATTATTTGCTACGTTACAATATGAGACGACTAGACACACACAGCAAAAAAAAAAAACTGTGGTGCAGTCACAAAGTCAATGTCAAATTGCATTCGGCCGCAGCTTTACAGCAGTGAGCATTTAAGCTTATCTGGCTTGCTGTGAAACCACACGCAGGCGCGCGCGCACGGGGACACACACACACACATACACACAGACATACGCGCGCGAGAACACGAACACATGGGCGCGCGGGCACACAAAACACACATACACGCTGGATTAAACACTGAGCACGGTCAAAGTAAAGCGATATCGCTATGTGCACTGGAAAGGGAAAAGTAAGAAAAGCCCTGTATTTACCTTGAACGTTTTGTCGTGGGGTCTCTCATCACCATACATTCTCTTATTTCTCCGAATTTACTAAAATAGTCTCTAAGGCTGTCTGTGAATAGAGAGAAGAAGAAGAAAAATATGTCGGGTCATTTTGACAGAAACATATGAACATGCTGTTGTCACTGTATTTCAAAAATACCCCGCGATGCGCATAGGGGTCGAATAGAGGACTTCAGATGGACGGAGATCAAAAATAACATCGTGCGCACACACTACTGAGATATCCCATACAGTACACTACTGCACAGTGCACATTCGCACATACACCGCCGCCAGCAGCTACAGCGAGCACTCAGTCACAGCGACAGAGGGGGAAAAAAAGAAAAAAAACAACAAGAAATGCTGGTTACGGTGTAAAAGAGAATAACAGTCTCACCTGGTGAGGTTTGCCAGCTGAGGCCACCGATAAACATTTTACTGTAAGGGGAAAACACAACAGAAGTGAGTCCAGATGTCAGTTCGGCCATTTTGACGACTAACTACTTCTAAAAGCGACCTTAAAGGATAAAGGAAGACTATGAAAACACATTCGCGCTTAGTAATTACACTCTGGCTACATAAAAGGGGCAGGCCACTCTTTGCTACGGAGCGGAGGTCTTTTAAAACTGCATCTGGAAACAGACCCGTGCCCGGTTTAAGTGCGTACTGTTGGGAGGGGGGTGCGGGAGGGGGGACGAATCCAGCACGGCAGTCGAAGTCCTCTCCAAGATGTTGTAACATGAAAAAAAATCGTACCTAAGGATTAAATTTAGAAATATATCCTTACCCCGGGTCATGTTGTGAATCATTTAGGCTTCCGGATGTGGCTTGACTCCCGTCTCCTTCCATATCTATTCCAAACTATAGGCTGGGACTACAGTAACAGTGACAGACACGCACAGATACGGCAGGAGATATGCAAAGCCCCGCTATGAGAATATTACTGAGCCGGGAATGAAAGCGTCACACGTGGGATCAGCTCAGCCCCCTGCTCCCTCCTCCCTCTCTCAGCATGCTCTACCTTGGCCCACAGGGGGCGGAGCCTGGCTCTGTCACCTAACCAATCCAATTGACGTCAATTCAGGCAATCTGCAAACCAATCCTCCGATTTGTCATTTAATTAAGCAATAAGCCACTAGAGGTGAAAGTGGCTTATTGCTCTTCTACGCCAGTGGACACATAGCATGAGAAATGTTATTTTTAATTAATACTGTTTACAAATTGTTTTACCACTGAAAGGTAAGGCTTGCAAAAGCAAAAGCGACATGCAGACATTATTTTTTTGTTCTTATTAATTACAACTGTTTGTTATTCTTCCGCCGTGTAATCTAGTGCGCTAGAAAGACGTTAAAAAGTGGGACAGTCACTATTTTAATAATAAAACATAACATATGGTCGCGAGTTTTAAGTGTCTACTGAGAAATAAGCAGGGTTTAATTCGACAGGGAGCAGCAAAGAGTGTGGTCTAAGTGTAAAATAAGTATTGTGCTGGTGCACGGGGGCATCATTTTTTTCGAATTGAAGAATATTTGAGCGCCAATAACTGAATAATATAAGTATAATAAATGTTACCGGTGGCCAGATTCGTCTTTGCAAGACGATTTGTTATACATTATTACTACTAAGATGTCAATATAGTTATTTTTAGTTGGTGCATTAAAATTATTGACGTCTTTGCAAATGGACCCTTCAGACATGATCCATGCAATCCTGCTGTACAAGCAAACAAGCAAGGTTGTGCTCACATGTTATAATGTTTTTTAAAAAATGCTCAAACGAGGCTTAGAATAGGCAAAAAATCTGAATTTTAAACGTGTTTCCAGGAGGGCTTAAAGAAAGTTATTTAAACATGTTCCAGAGGCTCTTCCTCTTCTCTGAGGAAGAGCCTCTGTAGCTGATGGTGGGGTCTCACCTTCAACTACTACATTCATTACTACAGCCAACAAAGAAATTTTCCCATGGAGATCAATAAAGGCTTGTATCCTTACATACAGTGATGCAATTATAGATCCATCCACGTAGATAACCTCTAATGAGCTGCTAGCCCTGCTCTCTGTGCAGTGTATGTGGAGATAAGCTTGCTCTGCCCCCTCATGACCTTGAAGAAGGTGATGACAAAGCAGGCTAAGAAATTAAGAATAAATGACATTTTTAAGATATATTAAGATATGGGCCTATGCATTAATTGCGCAACGTGCTATCAATAGAACACAATAAAAAATACATGTCCAATCTGTTTCAATTATGTATCATACATTTGTCTGATTGCTGTTCAGAGATGTCAAGCTGACAATATTAAATGGCCGCAGTTTTCATTGATATGAGCCAAGAAGATGCCTCATACTCTCTGGGAAATGACTAGCTATCCTATTTTATTATTCACAGTCAGTGATTTTTTTTTTTTTTTTTTTTGAATAGGCCTGTCTTTGCTGAGTGTTCAGGGTTCTACCAGAGGGAATTTCTTATCTGGCCAGGCAGCATGTTTTTGAAACAATGACTTAGATAAAACCCAAATAACAACACTTTTGTCAGTTGAACAGCTATAAGTCTGTCATTAGTTAGGGGACTCTCCACATTGCAGCTGTCTGTATCTCCAAAACAAAGGTACGAAAGCAAATGCCAGCAATTCCTTGTAGTATGCGAGTGTCAAAGAAAATGGAAATATGACACCTTGTGTGAAAGACTATTACTTATTATGCCTTATTTGCACCATTGTTTTTGTCCCATGCCATTTGCTGATGCATTTATGATTGCTTTACCGTTGTCATATGCGCAGCAGCCTCCTGAAAGACGTGCCTGAAACGTGAGTGCAAGAAAATCGCATCCACCCAGCAGCTGAACAGAGGAAAAGTTAGCGGAGGGTGGGTGGTTGGGTTATAAATTGATGTGGAATATGAGCTCGGAGGAACAACGGGCTTAAAAGCCCCATCACAAGGTGTGCAAAAATCACAGTGGATTTAACACATGAAGAGCAACTTCTGTTTCATGCTCAAACAAAAACACTGGAGGCCCGGGCTTCACGGTGCGGTTGTAAATTATTCTGTTTTGTGAACAACAGCATTATTGCCTTTCCATCCGCGGTTGTTACGGCATGAAGAGAGGCGAGTTAAATGTGACAGAAAAGGGTACGGCGGGTGTGCTGTTTCGCAACGTCTCATCGATCCATTGCCGACCAGATTTGGCGCCAAAGCAACCTGTAAGCAGACGAGCCGAAATCCTTTGGATCTCCGTGGGGTAATGCTCACAGGGGGTTTCTGTGTCCTGATCTTTTTTTAACACTCAGTGAAGGAAAAGTACATATAGATTGTTTTAAATTGAGCAGTGTTCTCCTTTAATCGGAGCAGCCAGCACCGCCTGATGAAAGCGCCTAAAATGTTTGTAGCTCTTTAAGCAACTTGACAGCAGTGCTTTTGGAGCAGCTGAGTGTTTAGTCGTGGGTGAGGAAGAAAGAGAGGGGTTATATCCTGCAACAAAGTGGCCTACGTGTGAACAAATTTCCTTGAAAATGATGCAGAGCAGTGGTTCCATTACTTGGGCGCTCACGTTATGACAAATAGAAAGGAAAACGGAGAAAAAAGAAGAAGGTTGAAGCAGTTGAAGACGCTTTGATTAACGCAGGGACAAAGTCTTTTAAGATATATTTGCATCCTGCATGCTTTGAGCTCATCGTCATTTGCTGGAGCTTCAAGGGCAATTCAAGATTTCTTCAATCCTGCATTTGCATTGGTGTAACTGTTCAGTTCTGAAAGATGAACAGCTTCTCAATAGAGAGCAAATTCAGCATGCGAAGGGAGGAGAGAAAAAAAGAAGAAGCTTGTAACTAACCGAGCCTCTGCATAAAGAGTGGAGGATTTGGGGATTGAGAAAGAAGTAAACTTGATAGTGTGTGAAAGAGCTGAGGGGGGAAAAAGAAAGTGAGAGAAGCAACAGACTCACTGACAGTGTTATGAGATGCTGTTTTGAGAAGAGGCATCCTGTTTCCTGTTGCAGTAATCACTTTATACCCTCAGAAGCTTCACTTGACCTTGGAGAAATTGTTCTTCCATCATGTGTAACCCCTTTCTCCACCAAGATATCTATGTAAAAAAATTTTTTTCGGGTTTCAAGGGGGTTTTTTTTTTTTGCCACAAACACCAGGAACGACAGACGACATCTAATACGGATGTATTGAAATTGAAACTGTAAATCTGTGGGGCTTTTTTTTTTTTACATGTGAGGTTCACCACATGTTATTTAGTCTGCATGTTTTGTGAATAAAAATCAAAAGACAAATCGAAGCACTTTCTGTCTAACAGGAATTTCTTAGGGAAACTATCCAGACACATCCTAAATGTGTTTAATATTATCCTTTGGATGTGGTGAATAATTTCATATTGATCACTGTGGATTGGGTGCTTTTCTCCAGAGGGCCTATTACAGTGGAATTCAGAATCCCGAGGAAAGCTGTGGAGAAAGCTGCAGATGTGAACAAATTGTCTCCCTCTAGTGTCCTCTCCTCTGTGCTTCTTCTTCTTCTTTGCTCGGCTTAAGTACCTCTCAGGCAGCAGGGAGAGGGCCAGACTGAAACATGCATAATTGACAGTCCTATTTCAGGAATTAGCCACCCACCAAACTCTAAACTACCTACTCTTTCATCTTGCCGGGAATAATTTGGCATCTTCTGAAGGTCCATTTCAGTTGGCTAGGATTAACCAGTGGTCCAGTGATTGATTTAATGAGTAAAATTTCTGTTCTCCACATTGATTTGTATGTCTCTACAAAGGTGGTTTGTGTGTAAACCCTGTCAACTGATCACGATTTGTGAGGATTACCGGGCTTGTGTCTCTTTGTTAGCACACAGAGAAAGTGTTAGAAGTCAGATCAGTAGGAAGGATGTTCTGGTGATGAGTGATTTCTCTCCCCCATTATGCCTTCTGTAACCACACAGATGAGTTAATTAAGCTGTGCCAGAGGCTACGCACTAGCATTCCAGGTAGATGGGCCACAGCGATATTCAGAGACATTGCATATAAAAAAAAGAAGCTGTAATATTTACTTTGAAGTCTTTATGTATATAAGGCTGCCCCAATGCTAATTTGGCTGGCCAATTCTCAAAAAATACCCACTTAGCACCTGCAGAACCTCAAAAGTCCACAGATTATTCCCTTGGAGGTTACAAAAACTGTTCTAACTGTGTGTGAACAGAAGATCCTCCAGTGCGTTTTCTCCCCAGAATCACTTCCATTAAAAGTGAGCTCTACGAAAGACAATTTGCATTTTTCTGACCCTAATGGCCCACCCTTTTGCAACTGGGTCTCTTTTTAGGCCGATCAGATTCCAACACAAGAGGATGATGACGACGTCATTTACCTGCTCCACTGGGCTGGGAGATAAGCTCATGCCCCTGCTGCTCCCTGGAATGTTCTGGCTGCTGTTTGTAGAGAGAGAGCTGTGTCTTACAGATGATGACAAATGGCATAAAAGCACCACAAGGAGCAATCCTATTACCTGTACAGTCAGCAGTAGGAAGAGAGGTGTGTGTGTGTTGGCCTTTTGGAGAAGAGATGGACCATCCCTGATTTCTCAGAAACCCATTGTGAAGCTGTTAACTTATGCTTTACACAGCTGGAACCTGTTTTAAATCAAAGTTAATATTTCTAAATCTGTATGAGATATTTTTAACGGCATTTTCCTTTGCTAACGGACAACACGGGAAGCCTGTGGATGACTGGACTGATGGACTTCACCCATGTTTATCCACTTGTGCTTTGTTTATTTGTGCCTAAAACATTTTTAGAAACCTTGCAGAGCCTGAGAATGGTAACCGAGCCTCTCTGGCTAAGTGTTGCTCTCTGTCCTTCTGGCTCACTCTCTGTTTATTTAACCAGCCTTTTCACTCCTGTTTCCTTTTCGCATTCTTTCTTCTCTAACTGGCTGCCACCATATATTCTCTCAGTTGCCAACCACTTCCTATTCTGCAACCACTGACCTTAACAC